CAAGTCCTGGACCCGGTGGCTTAAACTCACACCGGGTGTGTATGTGTGCATGCCCAAGATCCCAAGAGGAGAATGGAGGAGAAGGGACGGCAGCATGGCCATCCCCCCTGGGGGTAATTTCTCGCTTTCTGTCTCTCTGTCTCTCTCTGTCTTTCTGGTGAGCACACGCACCCTATAGCAAAAACCTAAATAAATAAATAAACAAATAAATAAATAAATAAAAATGGTAACAGGTCAGGGCTTAGAGAGCTATGGAGGGTGCCATTCTCCTTTCCTCTGGAGCAGGCCTTAACAGGTGAAGCTGGTGCCCATCTGGGAGGCCTCTCGGTCCTGAAGACATCACCTTACTGGGGCCTGAAGTTCCAGCATCAGCAACTCAGCCCCTTGGGCTGCTAGTCCCCACATTCAGTCCAGAGTGGAGCCTCAGAGTGAATCAAATTCCCAGAGATTTGCTTCCCTGACAGCAGGTGCCAGAGCAGGCAGGAACCTCAGTGCTCACCCAGCACCGCCCCCTCATCATATGGATAGAAAACTGAGGCTCAGAGAGGGGGAGTGATTTATTTGAGGTCACACAGCAAAGTGGGACAGAGCAGAAAGGCGACAGTGCCTAAACCTCTGTGTACCCAGAGGATGGGAGGGTTGGAAGGGAAGGACCTTCAACATCCTCTTTTCCTAAATTCAAGTTGCTTCCTTTAGCCCTGCTCCTTCCTCCCCCCCCAACTCCGTTGAGACCTTGGGGGCCTGGGCTCAGGGAGGGGGCCTGGCTCCTTAGTCAAACACTGGGTGGAGTCTGGGGCCACCCATCAGCTGACTACTAGCACAGGGACCCACATGGCTGGGCTCGAGCTCGTCCCGGGTGCAGGTGCTCACCTCGCCTGAACTCCTCCAGTCCTACCCTAGGATGGAAGTGGGGGGGCTTGGGGGGGTGGTGGGTGGGTGGGGAGCGGGGGGTGACAAATGTGGAGCCCGCCTGCCTCACTCCTCCCCCCAAAGCGCCTTGCTGTGTTTAAAGTTTTAATTTTTGCTAATTAATGTCAATTAATTTTGTATAATGAGTGTTTAATTTTGGGGAGTGTGTGAGCCTGGGAGCGACTGCAGTTCTGGGCTGTGAACGCTGATTAGCATCAACACCTGCTGCTTCCCCCTCCCTCCAGTGGGGGGGCACCAGGGTTTGGGGAGCTGGAGGGCGGTGGGGCCTAGTGGGCAGGCAGAGTGGGAGGGAGACCACAGATGCTCCCGGTGCCCGAGCCCATGGCTGAGGAGCCCAGTGGCCCAGGGTGCCCTGAACCGGGACAGGGTTCTGCAGGTGAGGGGTCTCTGAGCCCCAGTCTCTGGTTACGATAGTGGGGAGGTGGAATAAACAGGGAAGGACCGGGAGGCTCTGCAGTCTTTGGAGAAGAAAAGCAGCAGTCCAAATACAGTTCTAGAATGTATTTAGAGCACACATGCCGTCTTGGTACGTCCTACTGTTTCCACACGACACTCAGCGCCTGGTAACCAGGGCAGCCCCTCCATGCTGGGACTCAAGCCTCACGCCCCTCCTGTCCCAACAGACACGCTCACCTGTCAGACAGGGACTCTCAACTGGGGGTGACTTTGTGAGACATTTGGTCATGACTGGAGACATTTCTGATGATCACAGGCTGGGGCTGGGGGTGGGGTTGCTGTTGGCATCTAGTGGGTAGAGACCAGGGATGCTGCTAAACACCCCAGAATGCACAGAATAGCTCCACAACAAAGAATCAGCCCCAAATGCCAACACTGCTGACACTGAGAAACCCTCGTGTTAACCATAGCAGAGACAGACAGAATTGGGAAGGTGAATCTGAGGCAAAGGAGATTCGGAGCATGAGGGAATGACCTGCAGGGGAGGTTGGGAGCCTGGAAGGGGGGATGTCTGGGCTTGGTTTCAATCCTGGCTCTGCACAACACCCTCCTCATCTCCAGAGGAGAACTCCCGGGACCCCAGGGCTCAGGACCCAGTAGGGCCCCCCAGGGAGGCTGGCACCTGGCCTGTGTGTTGGTGACACGCCCTCTAGTGGTAGCAGAGGTGTTCTGCATCCCCACACCCCTGGGCCTGCCAGGCCCTCTGCTCGGGGAGGGAGACACGAGAGAAAAAAGTGGGAGAGGATGGTGGGGTTTTCTGCCCTGAAAGGCCTCAGCCCTGTCTCCGAGGATCTCTTCCACCACACTACCACCAGCGCATGTGAGGAAAGACAAGGTTACTGGAACATGGCTCAGGGGGTAAGCATCTCCCTATGGTGAGGGGGTGTCAGCTCGCTCTGAGAACTCGAGCAGCCATCACCCTTGCCCCTGCTCAGCCTCCCCAGGTATAAAAGGGTAGCACTCAGGGTCTCCACAGGGTCTGTGGGTGCTGGCTGAGCACACAGGAATGGCAGCCTCTGCAACCACACCATTGCTGCCCAGGAAGCCAGACAGCGGGTTCTCTTGCACTCCATTCTGTGTGTGGTATGGGGAAACAGCAAAGAGGGCCGAGTGTGGATTTGGAGGGCATGGTAGCTCAGCCCCGGGCTCATGGTGGCATCTGGATTACTCCCCACAACTTCCACATTGAATTGTAGGGTAGAGAAAGACTTCGATCCAGACACGAAAACCACTTGAACCAGAGATAAAGTATGAAAGGAAATAAAAACTTACTTCCCTCCCCTCAGACAGCACCCCTGAGACACTTTTGGGGATGACACTGCCCCCTTTTCATCTAGGTTGCCTAGATGGGAAAAAGAGAAAACCCTAAAAGCCACCTCAGAATGACGGCTCCCTTGAAGCAGCCCGCTGAGGTGGCCCGTGCACGCTGGCCGTCCATTCGCTGAGCACCCGCTGTCAGCACAAGCTACGAGCCACCTCT